GTATTAACACCCTTCTGAATAGAGTAAGTTCGTAGATTCTGTGAACTCAATGTTATTCAAAAATACCATATAAAATTGGGCAAAAAAACCTTTATAGCAGTTGGATCAAAATAGACCTTTGTACCACGTGGATTTCAATATCATACGTGGATTATTATTTTTTCTTTTTGGCCAACATCTACGTGGTTTGTGCACACGCGCAATTCCACAACAAAGAAAGTGTTTAAAAGTTGAGTTTGGATGTATTGTGGGGGTCCATATAACAAAATGGTAAGTATGAGTGTCCAGAATACAATCCTTACAAGTAAGTGGGTCTATCGTACCACTTTGCCTTATATTTATATATAGCTCACTATTCCTTATAATGGAATGTTAATGTGAGTGTCATGTTTGAAACAACCATATATTATGAGGGCTAAAGAGCTTGTGTGGATGGTCCACTTGAACTTGTGAGCCTGATTTAATGGAGGAAGAGGAGGAAAATGAGTCTTCCGCTGGGTATTGAGTCAAGAAAAGGGTTTAAAATATGAATTAGAAAATAATTCAAAGTTTATTAAATCATGATGCTTTTGATACGACTTATAATGATTGATTGAATGTTCATTCCAATCAAAGTAGGTCAACTTTTATTCGTCAAGTTATTCAAATAAGCTCGTTATTTGAATAACTTTTATAACGAGAATATGCTCATTTGTCTCATTTCACTTAATTATACCAATCAACCGCAATAAAGTGGTTGAAAACCATAATGTTTCAGATTCAAAACTAAGGGACATTACTATGAAAAGGAGGAATTCATCCTTATGTAACGATCCAAAAAAAAGAATAATGGGTACTTAAGGTATTTTAATTATTAATTAAAAATCTAAAATTTTAAGGGCATAATGTTCTTTTTGCGTATTAATTAAAATAAACCAGGTTTGTATTAATTTTAAATTATATTTGATTAAGTCTTGAATTAGTCTCCTAATCCTAATAGTTCTCTCTCTCACGCTTTTTATCTCTCTCTCTCTCTCTCACGTTCTCCATCTTTCTCATGTTATTCTGCCAAGCACAACAACAAAAAAAACAGAGAATATATCAACAGTTCTTCACGCTTGAAGAACTCACATGAAATTTTAAGAAAAACAAAGCAATCAAAAAAATATTAAGGCGAAGAGAAGTTGTTTGTTGAGTGGTGCGGACGTTGAGGTAACTTGGACTGATTTTTGGAGAGAGTTTTGGGTAGCCAATTCTTCGTTTGAACATCAATAAAGGTATGGATTTCTCTCATGGAATTCTTTATCTAAGAGTACTTTTATTCTAACGTTTCTTAAACTCTTGAAACTAAGGTTGTTCCCCTTCGTATGTCCTTGTCCTTAGCTCCCTAACAAATATGTAGGATGGGTATGTGGTGCTACTAGATTTTCGCATGAATGATGTGTTTAAATTAAATATGAATGTATTTATGTGCGGGAAGTCACGATAATGATCATCAAAATATGTCTGAAAAGTTGGTGTATGGGCGTGTATAGGGCAGTGTTTTAGGCACTGTTTTGGGGTGTATAAGTTGTGTATTTATTGTGCATTTTATGTGTGTAATGGGTGTACAATATGATGTTCATTATGATGAAGTACACTGAATTGAATAACCATCTTATAGCTATTTAAACTTATAAAAAATGCACCTAAAAATGGTTGGAGAAGGGCAAAAATTTCCAGATTTTTGTACCCTTCAAAAGTGTCAAATTCTGAGTTTGTAAAATAAAATAAATTAAGTGAGGTCAATTGGAATCAAACCCAAGACCTTACTTGTGAAGTAAACTGGAAAAAAAAAGGAAGGGGCTAAGGGGAATTGAACCCCTTAGCTTCTGGTTCGCTGGGGAAAAAAAGGGAGAAAAAGAAATGGGGGCTGGGGGGAATCGAACACGAGATCTGGGGGAAGAGAAGAAGGGAATTAATTCAGTAAATTAAATGGGAGGCGTGGGATTCGAACCCACAACCTCCAAGTGCGCGAGAGAGGGGAAAATGGGAAGAAAAAAAGACGTGAGGCGTGGGAATCGAACCCACGACCTTGGGGACTGGAGCAGCGAAAAATAAAAACAAAAATAGAGGGGTTTTGGGGGTTAGAATCCACCACCTCACAGCCTCCTCTCTTCAGAAAAAATTAATATAAAATAAGGGGGCTGTGGGGGTTCGAACCCACAACCTCCCTGTTGTAGTAAATTTAATTCTAAAAATCAAAGGGGTTGTTGTGGCTCGAACCCCCAACCTTTCGATTAATTAATAGTAAAAAAAATAAAATAGAAAATTTATTTTTTTATGTAAATAATGAGATTTAATTTAGAATTCTAATTAAAATAGAAAAGTAATTCTTTTGTGTAAATATGGAGATTTAATTTAGAATTCTAATTAAAATAGAAAATTAATTATTTCATGAAAATGCTGAGAATTAATTTAGAGTTCTAATGTTATGAATATTAATAATAAAATCAATGAAAAATATAAATGATATCCAAGTGATTCAAGATTTGGGTTCCCGTACCCAAACCTCCGTATTGATACATAAGTCATACGTGAGTGAAATATTCAAGAATAATGCCATCTACTTAGATTAAAAAAATCAAGATCTTGGCATATATACAAGATACATAAGTCTTGTAATGCATAATCTTAGGAAAGTAAGAATTACTTAACAAACTATAAATGAAGCCCATGGCTTGTATGTGTAGACACATAAGTCTAGCATACGTTCAAAGATAAATGAACCTAAGATATACGTAATGAAATGAAGAAATGAACATTCACGTAATAGGAGGTGAGTAACTATGAAAAATAAAGGTGCTAATAATGAAGAATGTGGTGACAATCATGATGTGAGGATAATGTATATGATGAGAGCAATCCCAAATGAACCTAAGTAAATGTTATCAATACGTACTCACCAATGAGAGTGTAAGATAATGAAGAGACCAGTCTGTATGAACACTCTAATGAAAACATTAAGTTTAAAACACTTAATACTAATGATGAGATGAGAAATCATCTATTGAGCTATGATGTCCTCATACTTATGAGTTGAATGTAATGGAACTTTATACTGAGCACCGATATGCTAGCTATAAGCGGTGATGCCTCTTTCGGGAAGGGCGGAGGTTCACGTAACTCTCATGAGATGAGACACCTATATTTCCACTATAGGGATCTGGCGGGGTTAAATTCCCATATACGCTAGCATGTTATTTAATTGATTTGGCCGGTGATTCCACCTCTTTTCGGTGTGGGGAAGACACTGGATTTCATGATGCTCACATGATCTATGTTGGTTGAAGTTAAAGTTCCCAATGAATGAATGAGGCCAGCCTCAAATGAATCATATAAAGAAATGAATGATACCGAAGGTGTTAGGATAGGATAATCAAGAGCTGAGCTAGATTCAGGTAATGACATTAGGTTATTCCTGATCATTGCACAGGAAACCCGATGAAAGTCTTAAACTACATCCTAGGTATCGTTGGTGTTTGTACTGGCCTATGAATGAATTGAGATGAAATACGTATGAAGGAATGAAGTAGACTCTGTGTTTGCTAAAGAAGGCTCCCTAGTTCAGGTCCCATATGTTGAGCCCTCATTTTTGGAAAGTCTTAAGGTCAAGTCCATGATAACAAGGTCTCATGGCATATGAATGAATAATGTGGAAAAAAAACTATGTGTTATATGTTATGTGCGATATGAAGATATTATGTGTTGTGTGCCATACGATAATTATAATGATGCATGTCACTCTCATGGCATAATTTTCCCAATCTCAATTTAGCAAGTCCACTGACTTGACTTCCAAAAATCATGTTGTTAAGAAAGATCTATTGTTCCTCATGCATGTCCCTGGTGTGTGCTTGCATATACCCATACTTAGTACAAGTGTGTACTAATTCCATACAAACATATACTTTTAGGTGCAGGCACAGGTGGACGATAGAGCTACAGGTTCGTTGTTGCAGCTATCCGGACGTCAGCATTCATCCAGAGTTTGGTAGGTCCTCATGCTTTCGAGGATGCTACTGTTTTACATTCTAGCGTAGTTTTAGAGTTGAGCTAGTGGAGCATGTTCTACTAGCGTTTCTTTCCTGTTTTGGTTCAGACTTTGTATTGGTGCTATTTTGGCCGATATACAATTAATACTTAATGAATTATTTCTTTCAGTTTCTCATATCTTAATTGTTAGATGGTTGATGATGAACGATTACGAAATATAAAGAATGTTTAGTAAGTATGATTAAAGAATCAAAAAGTTCAAATTTTCCGCTAAAATTATCCTATGTAAAGTAAGAAGGACGTAAGTAGGCTTGTTTGCGACATCTGAGAGGTCAACGACGTCGGTCTCGTCTGGGGTCTAGATTCCAGTCATGACACCTTATTACATTGCTAGCAATACCCGAAATTCCTAAAATGCTCCTCAAGTTCCGAGCTTGGTAAATAAGGACATGGTTCAATCTTTTCTTTCTGCCTTGTTGTGATAAGGGGGATATGTTTTTGCATACCGGCCAAGTTTATCAATTTTTTGAAAATGATAAAAAGAAAGGTAGGCTAAAATAGAGAGGAAAATCGTTAATAGAGAATCAAAATCAATTTACCGATAAATTATGTGATTCTTTTCATCCATTCTAGTGTTGCTGGTAAAGGTATTCCAAAAATTTGTTAAAGATGCATAAAAGTTAGCCCAAACACCATATTTATTGGGTAAAACTTACCCGCATTGGTGTTTACCACCATGCCAATACTTAATGTGTTTATAGTTCATTTTATCCAAGTAGCCAATTTATACTTATATTCAACTATGATTTTTCATGTGTAAGCACAATGTATTTTATCTCACATTTGCTTCTTATTTTGGACATTTTTCTTTTCTTCTTAAATTTTTTTCTCTCGTTTAGTTTTGGGCACATAAATCATAGTTGCATAAACCGCCATTACTCTCATTTCAATTCGCCATTACCAAAACTGCACTTGAGAAGAAAATCATGGCATCGATCGGAGGAGGAGACCGGCTGACTAATCTGCCGGAGGAGATTTTACTCCAAATCCTCTCTGTGTTACCGAACAGTAGACAAGTTGTTCAAATGAGCGTATTATCATCGCAATGGCGATTTCTTTGGAAATCCATCCCGGCATCACTCTATTTCAACTCAGAAGATTATCTTAACCCTGACGACGAAGAATATACTATGGCTTACGCAGCCTGTGTTAATAGAGAGCTTCATTATTGGAGGTCTTGCGAGAAAATAAAATCATTTAGGGTTTTCCCTCAGAGTTACGAGGAGCTTATTAAACATGATGTTGATTTGTGGGTGAACTTTGCTGTTAATGTAGGTAAGGTTGAAGAGTTTACTTTGAAATTTGGTGATTGTGATTCTCTAGATTTTGCGTAAAATTTTCCTGAGTTCGCGTATACGAATACGGTTTTGAGGAATTTGGTGTTAGGATATTGCCGTTTGAGACCTTCTGGTAATGTGAAATGGAGCAATTTGGTTTCTCTTTCGATTGGGGATGCGGTTATGACAGAGGGTGTAATGGAAAAAGTATTATCAGGATGTCCTAATTTGGAGTGCTTGGAATTAGATAAAGTTGTTGGTGTTCGTCGTCTGGATATCACCTCTGTGAAGCTGAGAAAATTGATCGTAACGATTTATGAAACAGAATCTGATGATGACGATGAAGACCATTGCCTCAAAATTCATGCCCCACATATTCTACATTTAGAACTTTTGGGATTGTGTTACGATAAGATACACTTTCAGCTGAGAAATGTGGTTTCACTTGTCACTGCAGTCCTTTCTTTAAATGTTCATTTCGCCGACCTTGAAGAGAATTTGGAGAAGGAGTGTAGATATTTACAGGAACTTCTTCACCACGTTGCCAATGTCAAGAATCTTGAATTGGGTCCCTGGTGTATCGAGGTTTGTTCATACTTTGCTATTGAATTCATCAGTTAGTAACATTAACAATATCACTACTTATGACTATGTTTGAAAGTACTAAAGAATAATATTGTCATGGCCAATTTTGTTGGACAGTGGTGTAGGTAATTGAACAAAAAAAATGACTCTGTTTATATAGGATAGATAACATTTAAAATTTTGAGTGCTTTACTCTTGAAGACATGTGAATGGGTGTGGGTTGAGCACCGTAACGTCCAATTCCCAACAGAGAAAAACATTAACTGATTCTTCCCCTCTATTGTAGCCTTGGTTGACAAAGTGCGGGTAAGAAGTGGCAAATGGCAAGTATCCTTTGGAACACACAAACTGGCCCGAACACCACTTTTATCAAACAAAGTCACGCAAATGTGTTTTTCCAAACGTTAACATACTTAGTGTAATCCCACTACTTTTGGCCTAGGGAGGGGGTGTGGCGTACGCAAACCTTACCCCTGCCTTTGTGGGTTTTCTCCAAGTGCTTAAAAATCAATCTGTAGATTTCCAAGACAACCTTGAATACTTTGATGTGCCTTGTGCCTTGTGGCGAAACAGTCCTATAGTTGAAGTTGTTTTTTTCTAATTATTGAACAATTTTCATGTCATTTACTAAGTATGTTGCATTTCCTAGTTTTTGATGTGTTTTGTTTTATCTATTTGTTTTATAAGTGTCTGTCCATACTGGAGTTCAAAGGGTGGCCTGTTCCACCATCAAGCTGGAAGTTCTTAAAAATTAACGCAGCCTTAGAACCTAATGACTATCCTGGAATTTGCAGCTTTCTGTCGAGTTCATCATGTCTTGAGACATTGGTCATTGACTGGTGCCATCCTAAACCAAGAGTAAGTTTCTTTTAGACCTTTATTTTTGTTACTTAATGTAATTAATATAATACTATTAGCGAAAGATGCTATATGTTTAGTGCTTCAGGGAAAAAAATCATTATACTTCTTGTTTTTTTTTTTTTTTTGAGAATTGAGACCACCTTACTGTTATGTTTCATATAGATAATTATCAAAGGTTACAAAGAGGGGATTTGACAGCTTATCCTCTTACAAAAAGGGTAATTTGGAAAATTATCACCTTTTTAATTCGTCTGCAGTCAACTTCTTTGCTTTCTACGTCTAAGATGAGAATAAGTGGTTAATATCTTGGATTTTTTCCTGCAGAAATTGCTGTCAATGTACACCAATGAGGATGAACGACGGAGGATATTTGAAATACATAGTTTTAACTGGTCAATGCCACATCTAAAGATGTTCAAGTTCATTAACTTTTGTGGAAAATCAAGTGAAAATAAGTTTGTAGATCTATTGATCAAATGTTTGCGCGAGAATGCGATAGCACTAAAGAAGTATGGCATTGCTTTAAAATTCAAAGGGAGAGATGTGTTTTGGAGTTATGTCGTCAGGAGTTCCTAAGCTTCAGTTGTGTTTCCTTGTTGATAACCTTACGCCATTCTCTTTTGTTACATAACTACCTCTTACTTTTGGTTTATAGTTGATAGGCGAGGTTTGGATTCAGTATCCAAAAGAAAATAGTTGTTTGTTTGTAGATTTTTCATTTGTAAGCACAATGTATTTTTTGTTAAATCATGTAAGAAAGCTTGATCCAAGGTTGAATGTCATTTTGAAGAAATTGTTTTTCTTTGATAATCATGTAAGTCCCATCCATAAATAGTATTGTCTTACTTTATATTCATAAGAAGAAAAATTCATATTGAGATTAATATAGTAATGTTAGTATAGTGAAAGAGAGAGTTGGATATATCAGACAGAAGGATCAAAGGTTTGGGCTTTCTTTCTATTTAAAATTTAATATTTATTTAACAATTTATTAGATGATTAATAGTATTCGTATTTGATATATGTCCAAATGGCAATATGACTTTTGTCTAATATTCTTTTCACTTTTAGTATATATAATATGATAAATATGATATATGATTATTAATTTATTATTATATACATATAATATAGATGATAAGTACTATTAAATTAGATAATTTGATTATGAATTAATCTGAGGAAGGATAAAAGTCATTAGCATGTTAATTAAAACGAAACAATTTAATATTTAAATTAAATATAACATTTTAATATATAGTAGGGGTAAAATCATACTTCAATTTTTAACTTTTTTTGTTATATTTATATATATATATATATACTAGACACATGCGCCCGTGCTAGCACGGGATCAATATATGTTAGTTATTTTGTCTCCCTCTATGTGCCACACATAAAATTTAGAATGTTGATCAAATTTTAATATGATTTTTAAATACCTTAAGTTGTTAATTATTGTAATTTATAGTATCTTTACGTAATTTTTAAATAATATATGTTATTTTCCTTGTCGCAATATATGTGAGACAAATAAACTTTCAAGAGTCAATATGTTGTTAATTATAGCGTAGAACCACTCATGTGGAGCAGGCATGTTGGCTGCTTCTTGTGTTGTTAAGATGGAATAACTAAAATATGAATAAGAAATATATTTACGTATACAAAGTTCAAATCAATAAATAAGCTGATATTAATTAAAGATATCTACTAATTAAAACACAAATTTTCAAGGTGAAAATCTCGTAAATCAATTAGTAGATGTAGAGATCTTTAATTATAAAAAATAATACTCCCTCCATTCACTATTAATTGTCAAACTTTTTATTTTTAAAGTCAAATGTTTTGTGCTCTATGTTACTTCTACTACTAAATCTACTATTACTATCGACTGAGAGAGAATTTGAGAGAGTTTAGATAAATGTCAAAATTTCATGGTGATTTTTCTTTTTAATTTTGTCCCCTTATCTTTCTTGAAAAAAGGAAAAAGAACAAGGAAAAGCTATGTTTGTAGATTAATGGCAAGACTATTTATTTCTCATCACAAATTATTTGTAAGAGGAATATAAACTTATTATAGATTTTAAAGATATATAATTTGAATAGATCAAAGAACGATTTAAGATTTTATTTTAGTTTCATCCATAGGTAATAATAATAGTCTATCATTCACATATTTCTTTATTATCACAAATTATTTATAAGAAGAATATAAATTTTTATTTAAGTTATATGTGCAACTTATTTTACATTTTAATAATATATAATTTGAATAGAGCACTTGAAAGATTTAAGATTTATTTTATTTTCATTCATTAGTAATAGTAATTGTCTATCATCCACACGTGAAAAGGGAAAAATAGAAGAAAGAGATGTTAGGGTTATGTGGGTAATTTGGAGATTGTATAAAAATATTAAGGGCAAAAAGGTAAAAATGTGGTCAACTTAAAACAGCTTATAAGTTTGAAAAAAAAGCACCCCTACCCCAGCTTTTAACTTTTGGCTTAAAATAAGTTTTTTTTTTTAACTTAAAATAAGTTATTTTGAGGATTGTCAAACAGCTAAATAAGTCAAAAATCAGTTTTTAAGTCAGATTGACCAGCTTTTAAGCTGAGCCAAACAGGCTCTGAATGATAGCAAAATATAATTATTTATGGCTGTAAAATATAAATTAATGAACTTTTATTATGTTAACAACTTTAAGGGTATTTCAGACATTTTGATTTAAAAAGCTGTTTATCAGCACTTATTTGCCAAATACATTAACAACTTTTTTTTAACTTCATCACTTTTATCCAAACGCATAACTGCTTATTTTAAAAATAAGTTTCAGCACTTTCAAAAGTACTTTTTTAAAGCTATTTTTATTAAACCCATCCAAACGGGCCCTATAATACTGCTGCAAAAAACTCCAAAGTTGGAGTGGTACAAATGCCCTAGTGAAAAAACAATGGTGCTTCAATTTCTTCATTTACGAGAAAAAAAGAAGCTAAAATTAAAGTAGAAATAAAAAATGATGTTGGCAAGACTTGTACCCCAGACCTTAAAATTGAAATGTCAAGTCTAATCTAATAAGCCAAATAGTTAATTATGTAAATAAGCACACAGCTGAAGCAGACATGTTGAACATCAGTTGTGTACTTATTGTCACTTATGTTAGGTAGTGGAGCCTGATTAATTTTAGGTTTTCCTATTTATTTTCTATTTTAGGCTTTCCTATTTATTCTCTATTTTAGGTTTTTCTATTTATTCTCTGTAACCAAAAATACTCGGATTTATTAATATAAATATACCTCATCGCCGTGAAAGTTTACTCATGGGGTGTTACCACGAAATATTGGGTTTTCTCTTTCTCTCTCTAGATCTCTCATCTCTTTCTCTTAAAAGCTCTTGTGTTCTTCTTTCATCTAGTGTGTGTGCGTGAATTCGATCCTAAGAACTGGTATTAGAGCTAAGGAGATTCAACATGATCACTGAAGATGGATAGTTAGAAGATTGGAATCGAGAAGTTTAATGGATCCAATTTCAGTTTCTGGAAGATGCAGATTGAAGATTGTCTGTACTAGAAAGATCTTCATGAACCGTTGACCGGGGTGAAGCCGGAATCCATGACGGAGGAGAAGTGGAAACTGAAGGATCGCTAGGCTCTAGGGTTGATCCAGTTGACTTTGTCAAGAAACCTGACGTTCAACATCGTGAAGCTGAAGACTACGTCTGATCTGTTGAAGGCACTGTCAAACATGTATGAAAAACCATCGGCTATGAACAAGGTAAATTTGATGCGTAGATTGTTCAATTTACAGATGTCTGAGAATGGATCTGTTTTTGATCATATAAACGAGTTCAATATGATTGTGAGTCAACTCAATTCTGTGGATATTAATTTCGAAGATGAAATTAAGGCGTTGATTTTGATGTCATCTCTGCCCGAGTCTTGGGATACTGTTGTTGCTGTGATTAGCAGTTCCCGTGGATCTGAGAAGCAGAAGTTTGATGAAATCCATGATGTAGGTTCTTAGCGAAAGTATTCGCAAACGACAAGTGGGAGGTTCATCGGGCAGTGCTCTCAGTGTTGAACGAAGGTGGAGAAGTAAGACGAAAGACCAAAATTAACATGGTCGATCAAAATCTCTGAACAGATCAAACGTGACTTGTTGGAACTGTGGAGAAAAAAGGCACTTTCGGACGAACTGTACAAAGCCAAAGAAGAAACAAAATCAGAAATTTGGAGATGACAATGATTCTTTAAATTTAGCAGAGGACATTGAGGATGCTCTAATCCTTAGTGTGAACAACCCGGTTGAATCATGGATTTGGGATTGTGGTGCATCTTTCCATTCGTCTCCAAGCATGGAGTTGTTCCAAAATTTCAAATCTGAAAATTTTGGAAAAGTATATCTTGCTAACAATAAAGCCTTAGAGATTGCAGGAAAGGGGGATGTTTGCATAAAGACCACCTCGGGAAACCAGTGGACATTGGAGGATGTCACATATATTCCTGGGATCAAGAAAAATCTGATCTCTGTTGGTCAGTTGGATAGCACGGGATATCCAGCAGAGTTTGGGAAAAGTTCGTGGAAGATCGTGAAAGGTGCTATGGTAGTAGCTCGTGGCACCAAATCTGGAACCTTGTACACCACTGCAGGATGCATAAACACGGCCGTTGTTGCTGAAGGTGCTTCCAGTTCATGTCTGTGGCACAACAGACTTGGACACATGAGTACTAAAGGAATGAAGATGCTGGTTGCAAATGGAGCATTAGAGGGTCTGAAGTCTGCTGATATGGTTCTTTGTGAGAGCTGTATTATGGGCAAACAGAAAAGAGTAAGCTTCATAAAGACTCCTAGAGAGCCAAAGAAAGTGCGGTTGGAAATGGTCCATACAGATGTTTGGGGACCATCTCCAGTATCATCACTTGGAGGATCCAGATTCTATGTTACTTTCATTGATGATTTCAGCAGGAAGGTATGAGTTTAATTCTTGAAGCATAAGTCAGATGTGTTTGCAACTTTCAAGAAGTGGAAAGCTGAAGTTGAGAATCAGACCAGTTTGAAAGTCAAATGCCTAAGGTCTGACAATGGAGGAGATTATCACAAATCAGAGTTCAAGACATTCTGTGCAGCTGAGGGAATCAAATTGATGAGAACAGTTCCTGGTAAGGCAAGGCAGAATGGAATTGCAGAGAGGATGAACAGAACATTGAATGAGCGTGCAAGGAGTATGAGGATACATTGTGGGCTGCCCAAAACACTTTGGGCGGATGTTGTGAGCACAACTGCATACTTGATCAACAGGGGACCATCAGTTCCTTTAGGGTTCAAGATTCCAGAAGAGGTGTGGACAGGAAAAGAACTCAAGTACTCACTCTTGAGGACTTTTGGTTTCACTGCTTATGTTCATGTTGATCCAGAAAAGAGAGACAAGCTTGATGCCAAGGCTATAAAGTGTTACTTCATAGGCTATTGTTCTGATTTGTTTGGTTACAGGTTTTGGGATGACAAGAACAGAAAAATCCTGAGACATTGTGACGTGACATTTGATGAGTCTGTCCTGTACAAGGACAGAGTGCAGAAGGTTCTGGAGATTACAAAGCAAGTGGGAGTTGAGGTTGAGTTGGAAAAGAGTAACCCCAGAAATGTCGAAGCAAATACTCAACCAACTCCTACTGAAGAATCTGAAGTGGAGCAAGTTACACCTGAGCAGGTGTTAAGGAGATCATCCAGATCCATCAGGGCGCAAGATAGGTATTCACCTTCATTACACTATCTATTGTTGATTGATGAGGGGGAACCAAAGTCTTTTGATGAGGCCCTACAGGTGGAGA